ATGAAAACCAATAACAATGTACTAAGTCTTTGTTCACACTTGAGTGATTTGTCAGCAGTCACGTAACAATGCATGACAAAAGGAATTTCACCATTTTCTATGGGACCCGTCCACACCTATGCCTTGCGCTTCCATGTCACTTGGAAAAAGGAGCCAGTGCGGTTTTGGCCCCACAGACTTTAATGAGAGCACATGAAAAACACATGTACATTGGCTTTAGCACATTTTGGCATAAAGCATCCATTCTCCTTTCCTAGCAACATCTACTCTAGCCAGGCTTCATAGGAAGATGGGGCGAGTGGGCCACACCATGCATGAGGTGGAAGAATGAATATGGATGTGAGGGCAAGAACATTGCTGTACAATCCCCAAGACCACAATTACGAGAATTGCTGCAAGCACCACAGGGTCAGGGAGGACATTGCTGGGGGGTTAATGCTGATTGGGATGGTTCTATAAAAACTGCATCAGTAGCTGCGACTGCTAGCAAAAAACATGTCATAGTGGACATGACTCAAGACACAACCGCACAGCACAACATAGAACAAGAAGGAAGCAGATACAAGGAACACAAGACCTAATGATGTCACAGCAGATATTGGTTGTCATTGACCAAAACTAAAATACACAAAGCATAAAAACACATGAAAATGCATTATTGTGCATCAAAAATGCATACAAAATACATAAAGAAGGGTGAATGGAGACTAAGACAAAGGAAAAAAAAATCATACATGAATAAATTGTGTGCAGCAGAACACATGTTTGGGGATATCAAAGGCTTCCCAGCATGCTTCGTTTTATTAGGCTGGGTTGTAGTTGAAAGGACAGGACAGTGACGCACATTTTCCATGATCTCGTGCCATAATAAGACCCGATGTAAACCGTGGTCTGCTTCATCAGCTCAACATTATTCCACTTTGGTGGCAGTATGCATATAACTGGTATCTCAAGGACTGGATCTGCTGGTCAGAGCTCAAGGTATAAGGCCTGATACTGATGAAGTGGATTGCCATGTGTGACTATATAGACAGTTAGCACTGCATTTTAGGTGTATATTTAAAATGACATATTATTGAGCACTGTAGAACTATTTACGTGTATGCATCCCTTCAATATTTGCCACTTATTCATTTATACATACCTTTAAATTATATGACTGCCATCTAGGCACATTTAGATAATATATACAAGACTACTGGAAGTTTCTGTGAAATATATTAACATGTTATTTTTTGTTGACGCACAGATTGTCAAGTCAATGAATATTGTCGTTAAAAAAGCCACAGTACCTTTCCAATCTCACTGAAACTAACACCACAAAGTTCTTGTCGTGAGAAAAATACAGTACACAGCATAGAAGTTCCTAAAACTGAAATGTAAAACTCTTATGTAGCACTACTGCCCCCTTGTGCAGTCTGCACTGGTATGCACAATCCTGGCGGGCGGCATAATGAACAAGCTAAACATGAACGTTAATTCCCTCTTCACTTCCTGAACATTTGTTAAACTTAAAACAAACAAACTGTTTAAACCACAAGAAAGCAGACTGCACGCTTTAAAAACACTGGAACTAAATATGACTTGCATGGAAACCTAAATATATCAAAAACATATCCCGTTTTTAAATATACAATTTATGTATGTAAAATAAACATGGAAGGAGTCCTAATTAACATAGAAATGATTGGAAGAGGAATGGTTCAAGAAATACTACCAAATATTGTTTAGTATATAAAAAAAAAAGTAAACTGAAAGAAAATAAAGATGGAAATACACCCAAGGTGGCTGCTGTGTTTTTTTTGAGTCCATATCCCATACCAACATAAAGGGGTTCATTTATAAAACCTCCGCCCAGTACTAGGGCCCCTAGATGGCACTGATGAGTATAGGAAATCGGGCTCTTTCATAAATTTACAGCAAAGAGAAACACCATGAGGCCAATTTACTAAAGCAACCATTCTAACCCCTTAGGTTTCTTTAAAGGAGAACTATGAGGTGAGTGATTTTCACTCAGCTTCATAATCTGAGCCGACCTGTGACAATTAAACTGTCACAGGACGGCTCAGTAGACCGGGAAGTGAGCGAACACATACCGTCGCTCGCTCACTTCTCGATCTATCCCTGAAGAGATTCCCCCCCTGTCCGATCCTCCAGCGCTGACTGGCGGAACGGACGGGGGAGGGGGCGGGCACAGCTGGCTCTGCCTCTGGATAGGCAGAGCTAGCTGTCAATCCCGCAGCTGGGTGTATCTCGACAGCAATGTCGGGATCCGTTCCAGCGTCTCAGTATACCGCACGCTGTAGCTCGCCATATACTGAGCTTTGGGTGACAGGAGGACACTAGTTTGTGTTCTCCCGTGACCCTTAGGAGAACTATGGGGAAAAGACCTGACCCCATAGTTCTCCTTTAATAAGTTGGGTCAAGGAGCAATGAGGAGGTACACGTGAAGTAACATTAGCAATCCGATTTCCATTCACTAAATATAAATCAGTTAAGAGACATGTGACTGGCTGCCATGGATTACCACACAATAGGCCTGTCTCGATGGACTTGTGTTCCCAACGCCAAAAACCGTGCTGATCACAGTTCCATTGCAAGCTGTATGGAAATCACACTGATCAGCGCAGCAAAAATAGTGCAGGGAGCAGTTCGGATCGGGCTGAGCCGCGCAGTTGCATGAACGATCCCCATAGCAATGTATGAGATTGTTCATGTCGGTGGATCCTCACGGCCGAACCGCCCCGGTGTGAGCGGGGTCTAACTCTTGAAAATCTAGCCCTCTCAGATTATTACACTCTCTGGCTGGGACCTGACAATGTGCACCTTACAACACAAATCCCATACCAACATAAAGGGGTTCATTTATAAAACCTCCGCCCAGTACTAGGGCCCCTAGATGGCACTGATGAGTATAGGAAATCGGGCTCTTTCATAAATTTACAGCAAAGAGAAACACCATGAGGCCAATTTACTAAAGCAACCATTCTAACCCCTTAGGTTTCTTTAAAGGAGAACTATGAGGTGAGTGATTTTCACTCAGCTTCATAATCTGAGCCGACCTGTGACAATTAAACTGTCACAGGACGGCTCAGTAGACCGGGAAGTGAGCGAACACATACCGTCGCTCGCTCACTTCTCGATCTATCCCTGAAGAGATTCCCCCCCTGTCCGATCCTCCAGCGCTGACTGGCGGAACGGACGGGGGAGGGGGCGGGCACAGCTGGCTCTGCCTCTGGATAGGCAGAGCTAGCTGTCAATCCCGCAGCTGGGTGTATCTCGACAGCAATGTCGGGATCCGTTCCAGCGTCTCAGTATACCGCACGCTGTAGCTCGCCATATACTGAGCTTTGGGTGACAGGAGGACACTAGTTTGTGTTCTCCCGTGACCCTTAGGAGAACTATGGGGAAAAGACCTGACCCCATAGTTCTCCTTTAATAAGTTGGGTCAAGGAGCAATGAGGAGGTACACGTGAAGTAACATTAGCAATCCGATTTCCATTCACTAAATATAAATCAGTTAAGAGACATGTGACTGGCTGCCATGGATTACCACACAATAGGCCTGTCTCGATGGACTTGTGTTCCCAACGCCAAAAACCGTGCTGATCACAGTTCCATTGCAAGCTGTATGGAAATCACACTGATCAGCGCAGCAAAAATAGTGCAGGGAGCAGTTCGGATCGGGCTGAGCCGCGCAGTTGCATGAACGATCCCCATAGCAATGTATGAGATTGTTCATGTCGGTGGATCCTCACGGCCGAACCGCCCCGGTGTGAGCGGGGTCTAACTCTTGAAAATCTAGCCCTCTCAGATTATTACACTCTCTGGCTGGGACCTGACAATGTGCACCTTACAACACAGATAAGCAAAACAAATGGCAAACGCACTCATCAATTTGTTACCAGATTTACAGCAAGGTGCACAAAAAAAACTTGTCTAACCACTAAGGTTAAAAGCAGAGGTTTAGATACACGTCTTCTGCAGAAAATGCTGCCGTTGTGATGTGCGGGGTCCCTTGTGCGTACCTGTGCCATTAAGGGAGGTTGGGCTTCCTCCTGACAAACCTGCACCCAATTTAATCTTTTGCCCCATGTGCTCCAAGATGGAGACTCTCATTGTTTAGAGTTAGGACCGTACTATATGGAGATGCCTTGGCGGGGCGGTGCGGCTTTAACATTTTCTGCAGAAAAGGTGTAGCTGAACCTCTGTTTTTAACCCCTTCGTGACTGACGACGTACAGTGATGACGGGAGGACGCTAGTTTGTGTCCTCCCGTTACCCTAAGGAGAACTATGGGGAAAAGACTTAACCCCATAGTTCTCCTTTAACCTCAGTGGTTAGACAGGTTTTTTTGCATGCTGGCTGGTGAGTGTGCCTGGAAACTTTTTGCTGTTATACAACACAGATAGGCGCGCTGCACAAACATTGCGAATCCATGAACAGGTAGCAGCATATAAAACACCAGATCACCATTATCTTAGGTATGTAATTAGATGTAAAGGAGTCCTGTAGTGAGGTAATATGGAGACTACCATTGCTTACATATCCTCCAAAAAATCATTGCAATCCAGTGGCTTTGAGACTTTTGGAGTCATGGACTTGGAACAAGTGCGCTGATTGGCAATTCTGACCTAAATTTGACTTCACTTGCTACATGCTTGTTCTGGGTCAGCGACACAAACTTTGAAGCCAGATCTCTAGCTTTCTCAATAGGAGATCAGCAATGGCAGCGTATACGTCTATCACTACAAGTTTCCCTTTACTCACTGAAGGGTTAGAGATGGGACAGGGGACCAGTATGTGACCACAGGATTAAAGTTATCAGATTTCATTCAATTTGTAAAGTGTGTCAAGCATTTTCAGAAGGGAAATTCGGCAATGGCATTTATGTATTTCTTTCCAAATCCCATTGCGTCACTTTTTATGAGCCAGCTTCTCTCTATAAACCCTCCGATCTGCATATCATGTTCAATGACCTTTTTCAAGGTATTCACTTACATGTTTGGGGTCAGCTGTGAATGTTGGAGGCTCCAATTGTATAGTGACTGGGCCATCGTTCTGTATGTTTACTTGCATGTATGCTCCAAACTTGCCATCTGGAAGAGAGAAAAGCTACATTTATTGCAGCAAAAGTACAACTACAAAGCAGATAATAAAATTAAGTCATTTTCTGTTTTCCAAACATATTTAAACTCAAAAGAATGAATGTGATATATTGCAGCCTACCAGTCCTGCATTTGTTTTCTTTTATCAGGCTTTTTTTAGTTTATTTTCCCCTGGTGATCCTGCTAGTAACATACTTCATGACCTGGAGTGACAACGCTACAGAACACACACCCCTCTCCTTATCTCCATACCGTGGGGGGTAGGTGTTCAATAGTTCAGGTGGGAAAGCTGATAGTGTTTGAGATTTCAGCTCAGTGCACAGGAAGTTACAAGGACACTGGATTTCTGGAAAGATTCACATCTATTTTTCAGTACTTGCAAAAAATACACTTAGTCCAGAAAAAGAACATGGCCATCATGTCTAAGGACTGGTGAGCTGCAATATATTATATTTGTTTTTTGATTTAGTTATACTTTACCTATCTCTGTACTGCAAAAAAAATTGCAGGGAGGTGGACGTTTATTTCTGAAATGACGTTTTAAAACAGAAACAGCCTTTGGGCTCTGCTAATCTTGGTGTCCTGAGCCATTCTTGGATAGCTCCGCACACAGACATAGTGTACTGTGTCGTACGAGAGGCTCAGTACCTTGTGATCACTATGATGACTCACTCATAGTGTTTACATTGATGATCCCTCCCCTTCCTAATAATTTATGAATGGCAGCAGCTTCTGATTCATTAATTAATTCTCACTGGCTAAGGTCTTTTTTTTAACCCCTTCAGTGTCGTTCCTCTCCTTAACTACGGACCTCCAGCCCGCCTCTATATTGTAACCTGTATATTAACGCTTCATCTCCCTTATCCTGCACATCCGAAACATAAACGCCCTTCATCTTCATCCTACCACTGTATGTTACCTGTATATTAACCCCTCTACCTCTTGTTTCCATTGTGATGTGCTATATCTAGTGCACCATTACTACGCTCCATGTTTTCACCCACTAAATACCAGAAGTGACACCTTGGGGTGTCTACTATCCAAAAGGAGGGGGTTTTTCCCCACATTTTTGGTATTTTTTCCTTTCTACTGATATAAATTTAAAAAACAGTGGTCTTTAATTACCACAAAGAGAAATTATATAAGATTCATGTGGTTACAGTGTTGGTACTCAAGTATTTAAGCTTGCCATTACAATCTGATTGCACCACCTCCTTTAGACTTAGCGTAACTATTGTTATGGTACTCTCAGAGTCCCTGCCGGGATTTACAGAACTTCTCTGAAAATCCCAACCAGGACTTCCAGAAGACCCGCCAGTACCTCTAATGGTACTTACAAGAGCCTAGCCAGTACTTAGAAGCCACAGAATCAGTGGCAGAACTTCCAGAATGCTCTGAAATGGTGCTGGGTATGTTTCCTCTGAGTCAGAGGGGTATTACAGCATCAGCTATGGAAGTGGCTGGTGTTGTGCCTTCAAACCAGTTATCCTGTTTGGCCAGAGAGCTATTATACTGAAGTTGTTCCTGTTTGCTGACCAGGACTGTCTGACCACTCTCTGTGTGCACCTGTCCTTACCACCGCATGGACATCACTATGCTCTCCTCTCCTGTCTGAAATTGTTCCTGATTTGCTGACCTGGACTGCTGGACCATTCCCTGATTATCACCTGTCTGGATGCCTGACTGGTCTACTGTCTCCTCATTGGAGCCTTCCTGTCCTCGTTCATCCCTTATAATGGAAATCTTGAGGGCCATGGCCTGGTACTTGCAAGCAGCGAAACCCATCTACACCACTGGGAGCTCTGGTGAAAACCGGCTGTTGCTTATACAACAGTGCAACCCATGAAATTCAAAATACTAACAACAACATATAAAGCCATCCACAACTCTGCCCCAGCTACATCTCCAACCTCATCTCAAGATATCACCCAAACTATTCTCTCTGCTCCTCCCAAAACTTCCTGTTCTCTTGCTTCCTCATCACCTCCTCCACATGCTCACCTCGAGGACTTCTCCAGAGCATCTCCCATACTCTGGAACTCCCTACCACAACATATCCAGCTATAACCTAATCTGTCTGCCTTTAGGCGATCCCTGAAAACGCACCTCTTCAGGGAAGCCTATTTCACCTCCTCTTAAAAACTGTACATCTAATCCTTCAATCAGCTCATCCCTCACAGTTATTACCTTCTGTATCACATGCGCCTCCTTGTAGATTGTAAGCTCTCATGAGCAGGGTCCTCTAATCCTTTTGTATGGTTTTGTATTGTAATTGTACTGTCTCCCCATATGTTGTAAAGCACTGTGCAAACTGCTGAGGCTATAAAAATCTTATATAATAATAGTAATACTCCACACCTTGGCTTAGCCCGTGTCACTCGCTGGGGGTGACGCCCTAACAACTGTGTAATATGAGGGACTACTTGAATATTTCATTCAATTTATAGCCAATCAGGCAGGCACTTATACTGCATTGTTTTTGATGGATATAAAGGAGAATGTACAATCAGATTGTAAAGTATATGGTCACCTTTAAAAAGCATTTCAACTACAACATATTTCCTGTATCCTGGGCAAAAAAAAAGTCTATTATTGACGCTTATGTTCCGAAGTTCTTCCTTTCTTTTTTTTAAAATCAAACCCCTCCTTACTAATCAAATCCCTACATCCAGCCATTATAAAACCATTTAATCAGCAATCATCTTGAATTGGCTGCCTGAATAGAAACTGTGCTAACAAAAATTAAACTGGAGTGTGCCGGGATCAAAAATACAGTCACCCTGTGAAAATTGCAATCAGCAAGTTACATGATAAATCCAAAAGATAAGATGTTCCCTCAGCCAAGATTGCACGGCTGTGGCTGCTCTAGCCTCCGCCTAAATAATTGCTATAGACAGACATGAGTGAAACTAGTGCATCTGCAACCATCAGAACTTAAATTGTGTGACTGATTGTTAGCAGCTCAATAAAGGTTCTTGTACAAGATCGATCATGGGCTAATGGGAATCTTTTCTATGTGTTTAAATATACACCCACTGGCCGCTTTATTAGGTACACCTCCTCAACTGCTCGTTAACACAAATATCTAATCAGCCAATCACATGGCAGTAACACAATACATTTAGGCATGCAGACATGGTCAAGATAGTCTGCTGAAGTTCAAACCGAGCATCAGAATGGGGAAGAAAGGAGATTTAAGTGACTTTGAACATGGCGTGGTTGTTGGTGCCAGACGGGCTGGTCTGAGTATTTCAAAAACTGCTGATCTACTGGGATTTCCATACACAACAATCTCTCGGGTTTACAGGGAATGGTCTGAAAAATAAAAAATATCAAGTGAGCGTCAGCTCTCTGGGCAAGAATACCTTGTTGATGCCAGAGGTCAGAGCAGAATGGCCAGATTGGTTCAAGCTGATAGAAAGGCAACAGTAACTCAAATAACCAATTGTTACGTCCGAGGTATGCAGAAGAGCATCTCTGAACACACAACACATTGAACCTTGAAGCAGAAGGCTACAGCCACAGAATACCACACCAAGAGCCACTTCGGTCAGCTAAGAACAGGAAAAGGAGGCTACAGTTTGCAAGGGCTCACAAAAATTCTAAAATAGAAGATTGGAAAAACGTTGCCTGGTCCGATGAGTCTCGATTTCTGTTGAGACATTTCGGATGGTCGGGTCAGAATTTGATGTAAACAACATGGAAGCATGAATCCATCCTGCCTTGCATCAACGGTTCAGGCTGGTGGAGCTTCGCATCATGTGTGCAGCCGACAAATCTGCAGCAACTGTGTGATGCTGTCATGTCAGTATGGACCAAACTCTCTAAGGAATGTTTCCAACACCTTGTTGAATGAATGCCACAAAGAATTATGGCAGTTCTGAAACATAAAGGTAAATGTAAATAACCTTAACAATCTACATAGCCCCTGTCACTTTTTTGGATCCTAATCCCTCTGTCCCGCTTTTCTGCTCAAATGTCCCTCTTTTAGCTGTGCAAGAATAAAATAGAAAACCAGCTGCACTCTTTACCGGAACAATAGAAGCCATGCAACAGCAGGTGGGTGCTTGGAGCGACCACGGACGACACCGCGTATAGCACAAGAGTATAAAGTAAATGTCACCAGCACACCAAAAGTATCTCAGCAAAAGTCAGATTATTGACATATTGCCATTCAGTACAAGCGCTTTCAGGGCATCAAGGGCACCCCTTCATCAGGCTCAGAATGACACAGATGTCTTGATGCCCCGAAAGCGCTTGTACTGAATGGCAATATGTCAATAAACTGACTTTTGCTGAAATACTTTTGGTGTGCTGGTGACATTTACTTTATACTCTTTTAGCTGTGGTTCTGTGTAGAGATCTGTATAAAATATATGTAATATTTATCTGCTGTTTATATTGCACTAAACCATCTAACCATAGTTCAGATTATTGCCATGAAAGACACACAGAAGAACAGTCCCAGGGGATTTTAACAAAATGTGCTGCAGCAATTATTTAAAGGTGATTCTACAGTTTTTTAGGTCTCCCTGCACAAAGTCCCACAAATGCCTACTAGGCCTTCCAGTGAAATCCACCGGACGCAGCTTCACTGGTGTGGCAATGATGTTGTACTGCTCCTAAAATCTAAAGCAGAGTTGCCATTCTCAATTAGCCTGAACATGCTTGTACTACAGTGGGATGAGAAAATGTTGCAGGGGCGTGGCTATCAGCATTGTTACTTTTGATTCACAAGCCTGTGGCTTGTCCATCAGCAGCTGGCCACACCTAACCTTGCCTACTGCTTTTCTGGATTGACAGCACTGCCTCTGCTGCAGAAACTCTCCCACTATGAGCTGCAGTGTCTGGGAGGGAGAGCATGTGAGACAGAAATAAAGGAGGATTTGACTCAGTCAGGGAAGGTAAAGGAATTTTTTTTTGTTTACTTTATATGGCTTGTGCATCACATAGTAACTGGATTTTGTAATTGTTAAGACTCATACAGGAGCCTTTAGTTGTACTTTAAATGACTTAAAATACCGTTCTTTCCTATTTGCAGGATGTCTATCAAGCAACCAAATGATGTGTGTAATTGCAAGCAGAAGCCTGTTCTTTCCTATGGGAGGACGTAGCTGCACGCAATTACATGCAGTCACACGCACACCCGAACCTGCTCATCCGTGCAGGTCCAGGTGCCCGAACTTGGACAAAAGACAGTGTGCATACCATCTGAATAAGCCCTAACAGGTATTTTATGTCACCAACTAAACAGAAATAACAAAACAGTTGCAATGCTATTTTTAACAGGCCAGAAGTTATCAAGAAAAAAAAAGGGTCGTTGTTAAGCTTTACAAACCCTTTAAAATGACATTTACTTATGATACAGTGCTTTAGCAAACATTTAACAAAATTCTTCCTGCAGAAAACCAGCAAAAATCTACAGAAAAGTTGCAAAGCTAAAGAAAAAGAATAAAAATAAGTTCTCTTTAACTGTTGATAATAAAAAAGTGAAATGAAAGTGCCACATGATTTTGGTTATACTGCTTTTTACATCTTCTCCTGGGTCCACGAAAATATAAAATGCTTCCAAATGAGGCAAATTCATTCCTCCATGTTGGCGGTGTGCGCTGTATTCTCAGAAGTAAGGGTTCTGTCTGCTGAGGATGAATAGCACCCAATAAATCAAGCCTAAATGCCTCACTCACGAATGCTGAAGTGTGCCTACTGCTAAGTTAGATCTATCGTTCACTGGCTACGTCTTGTAAGCTGTGCATTCAAAACATATTTTTAAAACCATTACCTACAAGCCTGATCTAATGCAGTCAATAGACTTGCTGTTACAACTATAAAATGTAACAAAACACAGAATGTTGTTTTGTTCTCTACAAAGAAATCAATATCCTATTACTTGTACGATTAAAGTCACTATGTGCTTTCTAATCTTTTATACGTTAAAACAATACGCTGCATCAATGAACAGTTTATTGGCAGGGCTTAAGATGTAACTTAAGTTTTATTGACAAAAATGAAATGGCCTTTAAGTAAACTATATGCCCTGTAAGCATTTTTGCAAACATATTTGCAAATATTTATCTGTCCTGAAAAGAATTCTGATTGTTTCACTATGTCCTTTACAGACTGAATTCTAAAACGCAGAGTCAGCGTACGTCAGGGGTGGGCAACTCCGGCCCTCTAGCTGTTGTGGAACTACAAGTTCCATGAGGCACTGAAAGACTCTGACAGTTATAGGTATGACTCCCAGAGGCGTGTTGGGATTTTTTGTTAAACCACAGCTGGATAGCCGGCGTTGCCCACCCCTGGCCTACATTATAATCACCTGAGCATTCTATAATTCAATGTTCAAATAACAAAAGCTGCAGTATCTGCATGTGATTTAATATGGATAAGACTTAGGGAGCATCTCATCAAAAATGAAATAAAGGAAATAATCACACAAGTAGAAACTGACATTTCTTGGAAAGGCCAGTGTATGTGTGCTGGAGGTGGGACCTCACTGGGGAAAGTCTAATGTGTGAGCTGGAGGTGGGACCTCACTGGGGAAAAGACTAGTATGTGTGCTTGGTGTGGGACCTCACTGTGGAAAGACTAGTGTGTGTGCTGGAGGTGGGACCTCACTGGGGAAAGTCTAATGTGTGAGCTGGAGGTGGGACCTCACTGGGGAAAAGACTAGTATGTGTGCTTGGTGTGGGACCTCACTGTGGAAAGACTAGTGTGTGTGCTGGAGGTGGGACCTCACTGGGGAAAGACTAATGTGTGTGCCTGGGGTGGGACCTCACTGGGGAAAGACTAATGTGTGTGCTTGGTGTGGGACCTCACTGGGGAAAGACTAATGTGTGTGCTTGGTGTGGGACCTCACTGGGGAAAGACTAGTGTGTGTGCTTGGAGTGGGACCTCACTGTGGAAAGACTAGTGTGTGTGCTGGAGGTGGGACCTCACTGGGGAAAGACTAATGTGTGTGCTTGGGGTGGGACCTCACTGGGGAAAGACTAGTGTGTGTTCTTGGGGTGGGACCTCAATGTGGAAAGACTAGTGTGTGTGCTCGGGGTGGGACCTCACTGTGGAAAGACTAGTGTGTGTGCTGGAGGTGGGCCCTCACTGGGGAAAGACTAGTGTGTGTGCTGGAGGTGGGCCCTCACTGGGGAAAGACTAGTGTGTGTGCTGGAGGTGGGCCCTCACTGGGGAAAGACTAGTGTGTGTGCTGGAGGTGGGCCCTCACTGGGGAAAGACTAGTGTGTGTGCTGGAGGTGGGCCCTCACTGGGGAAAGACTAGTGTGTGTGCTGGAGGTGGGCCCTCACTGGGGAAAGACTAGTGTGTGTGCTGGAGGTGGGCCCTCACTGGGGAAAGACTAGTGTGTGTGCTGGAGGTGGGACCTCACTGGGGAAAGACTAATGTGTGTGCTTGGGGTGGGACCTCACTGGGGAAAGACTAGTGTGGGTGCTGGAGGTGGGACCTCACTGGGGAAAGACCAGTGTATGTGCTGGAGGTAGTATTTCACTTGGGAAAGACAATGTGTGTGCTGGAGGTGAAATCTCAGCATGCTCTGTACAGCTAAAGTCAACGATCTCCAACAAATAAAGTAACAGAGACAGTTATGCATTATACTATATATAATTAACTCAATTATAAGATTAAAGGCTAGATTTATTGTGTACAGCTTAGGACAACTCTGGCAGAGGTTGAGGTGCCATATACAGTGTAGATCTAGGATGCAAGAAAGCTCCACAGTGACACAGAAGTCAATTTGAAGAGAAACAGAGCTACCTGTAAGTAACGCAAGGTGCTTAATTTCAGGACTGTTCTTACCTTAGACGCATTATAGGCCATGGCATAGTCACCTTAAAAGATAACTGTAGTTTTAGTCTTGTTATCCTCTCATTTAACAACTTTTCAGCAACCCCTTCCCTCCAAAATGTCAGACCAACACTGTGTGGTTCATGGGAAGCCAGTTGAGAGAGTTTGCAGGGGGCGGGTTTGAAGCTCCCCATGGACCACACAGTATGATTATGAAAGGAGCATGGACAGGCGAGTACATGACTTGCGGAAGTTCTGTGGTGATTACTGCCATGCCTTGTTTCTTCATATTACTTTGTATGGTCTTACTCTCCTTATTCACCATGTGTGAAAATAAATACATTTATGTAAAAGAAAAGAAGAAATAATGATCTTACATCTACAGTCTGTGTTGACTTTTCTTTATAGGTTTACATGTATATTTACATTGTATTGCAGTTAAGTATTCTAATGAGGCATACAACACATTGACTATGAATTGGTACCTTTGATTAATTCTGGTTTGTAGGCCTTCCTCATTTTCTCCAAGAAGTCCAGGTAGAATGGTTCAGCCTGCTCAGAAGGCATGGCCATGTGATAGTCGGGCTTATTTCCTTTTAAGACGCACTGCAGAGTAAACTGGCTGACACACAACACTTCATACTGCTTGTCCATAACACTTTTACTCCAATGTTTGCCACTCTCATCCGCAAATATCCGGAGATTCAGAATCTTTCTCACCCTGAAAGGACAAGCAGCAAGCGTGAGACCTGAGGCTCTAGGTAGCAAAATATTAGACTGAATACAATAACAGGGGTGTGGAAATTTGGGAAAAAACTACTTGTCTAAGGACTAAAGCGGGGGCCGAATCTACTTGTCCCTCATGGCAATTTATTTGTCCTGATACAAATAAAATAATTTTAACCAAAACCGTATTTAGCAGTGCTAAGAAGCACTTCTCATTGGTCAGTGCCGTCAGGTGACTGCGTTGACCAACGAGTGCTTGCAATTTGCGAGCGAAATTCAGAATACATAGAACAGGTACAGATAGTACACCCGTTCTGGTGGAGGGGAAGGACCGTTTGCTGAAAGGTAAGTATAGTGGGAGGGAGATTTGTGCGGGTAATTTCATTTTCCCAAATTACTTGGGAAAGTGAATTTTACCCTTTAGGGTTGGTGCCGACTTGGGGATTCCCAGGACGTGCAATCGTGTGTGGTTGCATACAGCGGTTGCATCCGCATGTATGGGGTAACATCTGCGTGGCAATCGCTAAAAAAAAAAGGTAGATGCACCTTTTTTCACGACGTGCACCGCGCAGTGTTTTCAACCGTGATCATGTGGGATTGCCCGGGCAGTATTGCAGCAGGAAAACGCGCAATCTGCCTTGCACGACTGGGGTGCCATTAGAAAATAATGGTACTGACAGCACGATCGGCGGTGGTACCGCATGCAGATGGGGACAGTGGGGCTGGTTTTCATTTTTAAAATTTGTATTTACTTTGTAAAAATTTGTCATTTGTTTTATTATTTTTACTTAAATCGCCTTTTTATTTTTTACATTTTTGGTAAATTTTTAATTATAATTTTTTACTTTTTACTTTTAACTATTTTTTTTTAAAACTTAACTGTATTGCTATCACACAGGGAATAATAATCCCCTGTGAGATAGCATTTGGAGGTAACAGGTACTCTTTATTGACCCTGTCACTTCCAACACAGGAGTTCTAGTACAGCACTGCTGCTAGAACTCCTGTGATAGGAACGAGCAGCGGCCGCCAGGGACAGAGGCTGAGGGAGGTGACAGAGCCTGTCACAGCTCCACCGTCCGGCTTTGTCACTGCTCCACACCCTCCGCTCCGTCCCCAGTTCTCAGCGCTCCGTCCCCGCCGCGCCCACACCCCCCGCTCTCTGCGCTCCACGCTCCCAAATCGCAGCACCGCTCTCGGCGCTCATTTAAGAAAAAAACCCTTTTTTTACGGACTTACTTGTCCGTAGCAGGGCTAAAATAGTGACAAAACAACTTGCCCGGCGCCCGGAACTACATGCCCCGGGCGCCGGGCGATACGAATTCCACACCCCTGAATAAATCATTTAGATATTTTTGAAAACCAGTGCAGCCCTTGTACCTTTTTATCCCTTAAGGTCTATTTCCAGTATAGGCCTTTAATTCAGCCATAACTTTGTCATTACTTAAAACAGAAGTGCTGGAAGCAACTTAAAACCAGCATGGGAAACTGAAGCTGTCAAACATGGCTCTATACTGACAACTGAATGATCATGTAACCACTGTTTGCTCAGCTCTTGGTGTCTTCTCCCTGCAGAGAGCAGTTACTGTCATTTACTGATCCTCACAGGGATTCCCCCCTCGTCTCTCTGTTTCTGGAGGGACAGACAGGGATGGAGGCGGGTAATGGCTGGCTCTAGAGGGGCAGAGCCAGCTATAACTTAGGCAGCAGGGGTGAATCCCTACAATATTGTTGGGATCGTTCACGGCTGCAGCATGGCTCTGCGTTGTCAGCTGATAGCGGGCATCCCGCAGCGTAGACTCCCTAAAACTGTGACAGTAATATGCATACAACAGCAAAAGGTTTCCCAGCACACTGACCAGCCAGCATGCAAAAAAAACGTGTCTCACCGCTAAGGTTAAAAACAGAGGTTTCCATGTGCACCTTGCTTAGAGCTGGTTACAAATTGATGAGTCTGTTTGCCATTTGTTTTACTTGAGTAATATGTATACAACACAAAGATGTGGGTTTGCCCTTGTGCCCAACAAGCAGCCCACTAGGCAACACAACAAAAGCCTCTGCTCCCAGAGCCAGCCATATCACAGTACCAGCACAATGTAAACAATAGCAGATGCCAGTTTGCAGGCTTCCCCATTGTCACCTGCCGCTCTGGCTTCATAAGTGCCGGACACATCCCAGCGGCAGGATCCACATGTAAAAGGCAGCAAAGACTGTCAATAAATGTTTCCTGCTCCATTTCTTGTAACTGACTTGGTGAGCAGATATGGTAGAGTCAGCTGCCAGATGTGCAGAAAATAAGGATCTGGCTGAAGCCCAGGGAAGGGGGGCCTGCTGTACAGGTAATATACAAGGGGAGGATTTCCATGGGTGTCCATCTATTGCATATTGCAGATGCCATCATGGCTTTGTATATCCTTGATATTAATTTGCTTGATGCTACCTGACTTGCTTGGGGGTCGGTCTCCTAATTTCAGCTGTGAGTTTTGCTTTTCTTCTGCACATTATTGTAACAGGCTCATTTTCTACGTCTTTCGCATGTTATGTGTAGTGTATTACAGTTTTCACTAGGGATGTACCGATACCGGTTTCTCAGTATCGAGTACTGATATTTATATTTTGGTACTTGCCGACACCAAGTAACGATACCTGTACTTCCGTTAGCATGGAGCCGGCTTCCTGGGCAATCAGGAGGCCAGGCGGCATGTAATTACCCGCCACTGGGTTTCTTGATTGCCCGGGAAGCAGGCTCCATGCAGTTTGGCTGACTCGTGGTCGGCTTCCCAGCAAATCAGCATGGAGCCATTTGCCGCTGCCTGGCTTCTTGATTGGCTGGGAAGCCGGTTCCATGCTGTTGGCCGACTCAATGCTGATTGGCCGGGAAGCTGGCAACATGTTCCCTCATGGCACTGCTGGTCAGAGGAAATCTCCCTCTGACCAGAAGTTCGGTATCGGGGAAGGTATCGGAGCATTTGGGTGAGCATGAGTACTGGCCCACATACTCAGTATCGGGACCGATACTAGTATCAGTATCGGTGCATCCCTAGTTTTCACTGACAGTGGACAATGGCCAGAGGCTGGTAGCAGGAGCTGTAATGATCGTCATTACATAGATTAAATATTATTATGTGCAGCCCCTTCATGATGTTGGGGACTGCATTTGAGGCCCTTTATATCTTGTAAACTGACTACCACTGGTTTAAAGTGAACCTGTCATAAACAAAGACACCTGTGTGATCAGATTCAGTGTGACCACAGATTCTCCCAGAAGCAGCCCTTCCCTAATCTAAGTGAAGTATTTCAGATCTGAGGCAGTGAAGGTAAACGTATTCACTAAGAACTAGCACGTGACCCCAATCACAATGGCTGCTTCCATGAGACCCGGAGAACACAGGCTCTCAAGCCTCTTTATTAATATATAGGAAATTATGGACACCGGCACTCCAAGGTAGAAAAACGTCTCTTTATTGATGTTTACATGCAACAAAAACACTTATTGCAACGTTTCAGGGTCGCACAGGATCCCCTTCATCAGGCACTTGTTCTGCCTGATGAAGGGGATCCTGTGCGACCCTGAAACGTTGCAATAAGTGTTTTTGTTGCATGTAAACATCAATAAAGAGACGTTTTTCTACCTTGGAGTGTCCTTAATTTCCTATATCCTATTCAGACGGTGGCCATCCGTCGACTACTGATGCACCAAACCCATCATCACGGATTAGCGGTAAGGAGTGCAATGGGTGCACGGATTGTTACTCTTTATTGATATAAACGCACATAGACATCCTTACACTAACAATGCAAACTCTGCAGAACTTACATATAATCAACATCCTTTTGTGTGTCTTCTACAGAAATCCCCAGCAACACACAGATGCCACGTCCAATGGAGCTAATCTGTTCTTCTCCCACTGTAAATGTCAAATTAAAAAAACACCATTAGAAGTAATATGCAGTTGTATGAAAAAGAAACCTACAGATAAATTGTAACAATGAAAGCATATCTAAGCTCCAAAACTAAAATGTAATACATTACAGCTTACCCGATAGCTGCATAACTTTCTTTTTAAGGCTTTTTTTCTTTATTTTTACTTGGTGATCCTGCCAGTAACACACTTCCTGTCATAGAGTGACAACACTTACTCACTGTACTGTATCTATGGAGTAACAACGGAGCCACCCTTGGCTTCTCTCCTGACATGAACCATAAATGCCTCCTACTCTTCTAATCTCCATTACATAAGAAGGAGGAGTTTTGCAGTTCACAGAAAATAGCTGGGAAGCTCAAACCATTGTTGGAGATTTCAGTTCCCTGCACAGGAATTTACAAGGACACTGACTTTCTATCAGGTATTTTCTGTGTAGCCGTAGAAAACGAAAACTAAAGCAGCCACCACATAAACATATTACACTTTTCTCTTGGGTTTAGATACATTTTGAAATGAAAGTAAACTATCACTTTTGATGGGACATTTTTATTTTTACATGTTTGTTGATATAGTTTCAATAGTGAGTTCACATAAGGAATTGAAGATTGTTCCTCTAGCAGTTACCAGTATGTCAGAGAGGTGCACTTAGCACCCTTTCTCAACAAATGCTGGAATTAAAGCAGAACTGTATCATGTGGTCCCCCCAGTACTTACCTTCATGTATCTGCATTTGGTCCCCCCAGTACTTACCATAATGTATGTGCATGTGGTCCCCCCAGTACTTACCATAATGTATGTGCATGTGGTCCCCCCATACTTACCATAATGTATGTGCATGTGGTCCCCCCAGTACTTACCTTCATGTATCTGCATTTGGTCCCCCCAGTACTTACCATAATGTATGTGCATGTGGTCCCCCCAGTACTTACCATAATGTATGTGCATGTGGTCCCCCCATACTTACCATAATGCATGTGCATGTGGTCCCCCCGTACTTACCATAATGTATGTGCATGTGGTCCTCGCAGTACTTACCATAATGTATGTGCATGTGGTTCCCCCCAGTACTTACCATAATGTATGTGCATGTGGTCCCCCCAGTACTTACCATAATGTATGTGCATGTGGGCCCCCCAGTACTTACCATAATGTATGTGCATGTGGTCCCCCCAGTACTTACCTTAATGTATGTGCATGTGGTCCCCCCAGTACTTACCATAATGTATGTGCACGTGGTCCCCCCAGTACTTACTATAATGTATGTGCATGTGGTCTCCCCAGTACTTACCATAATGCATGTGCATGTGGTCCCCCCAGTACTTACCATAATGTATGTGCATGTGGTCTCCCCAGTACTTACCATAATGTAGATATATGCAAAAACACTTTTTGCATATATCTACTGCTTCCCAGCCATATTAAACGGAGGGTTTAATAACCCTTTAATGAATGAAGCTCTGTTCTCTGTTGTAAGTAGTCACCACTCCAAGCTTGCTCCTCTGATAGACTATAACTTCTGTACAAATGGGTAAACTAAACATGAGATTGTAGTCCATCACAGGAGTGAGCTTGGAGCGGTGGCTACTTTACAACATACACAGGGACCATGGGGAACAATAGTAGCCACCCTCCAGAAGGAAGGACAGTGTCAGCACCAATTCTGAGATGATTTGAGCATCTACAGCCGAGTGACACACAAATAAGATACATTTATGTTAATAGTTAAAGAAGAATTACGGGGTTAGAGCTTTTCCCCATAGTTCTCCTTAGGGTAACGGGAGGACACAAACTAGCGTCCTCCCGTCACCTTAAGCTCAGTATACTGCGAGCTACAGCTGGTGGTATACTGAGACGCCACAGCTGAAACGGATCCCGACAATTATGCCTGCATCCGCCCAGCTGCGTGAGTGACAGCTGGCTCTGCCTATCTAGAGGCAGAGCCAGCTGTACCCGCCCCCTCCCCCGTCCGTTCCGCCAGTCAGCGCTGGAGGATCGGAGCGGGGAGAAAGTCCCTCCCCTGTCACGGCAGAGAGCCGTGACAGGATCGAGAAGTGAGCGAAAGCCGTGTGCTCACTTCCCGATCTACTGAGCTGACCTGTGACAGTTTCATTGTCACAGGTTTGCTAGAACTATGAGGTGAGAGAAAAGCACTCACCTCATAGTTCTCCTTTAAGGTACTTGAATGCATTTGTAAGATTTAACTCCTGAGTTTAGTGCCACTTTAACAGAACAAACTGAAGAGAGAATCTGATTGGTTACTATGGGCAACTGCTCCAGATTCTGTCTACTGCGGTTTTGATACATTCTGCTCATTGTATGTAATAATGTTTTATATATATAATGTGATCACTATCACACACAGGAGGGTCTAAGAAGGTGAGATCCCTGAACTGAACAATGTTATTGACAAATACACTGCATGTATAGTTATATACTGGAGAAGCCAGTCATCATCATCCTTACTGACATACTGTGTATACTGAAGAAGCCAGTCATCATAATCCTTGCTGACATACTGTATATGTGCATGGGTAATGTGCTCCTCGTGTCACACTGTTATGTCTGTTACATATATGTACATGTAATGTGCTCCTCATGTCACACGGTGTCCCTCTCATTACAGGTGATGATGTTGCTGTGGACAGGAAGTTCCCGGATGAGCCGGTTCCTGGTGCACTGGCCATGGTGTGATCACTTCCCCCTGCACACATTGTACATCGTGCAGCGTGCGGCTGCTGTACACATGGAGCTCCATGTCTTACGGTCTCCGGACACTTACCGCTGACACTGGCCTTAGTGACCCTTTGGATTATAGCTTTCATTGTGCTCGGCTGGCCCAGGGGAAACGAGCTGCCGATCTCCTCTACTAGTTCTGCTGCACCTTCACTTCCTATTATTGGCAGTGCGGGCGCCCTCTAGTGGCAGAATCTCATGGAAACAGGTCATGTACTGTACAGTGTGGGACTACCACAGACATTGACTTGCAGACTCCAGCCATGTAAGGGTTAAAGTCACACTAAACCCTGCAACATTTTCCATTAAAGGATGAGTGCACTTTAAATCAGAACTCCGGGCAGAACTTTTATGAACTCTTGCAGTGGGACTGCCCAGGACATCAGGGATGGCCAAACTGCGGCCCTCCAGCTGTGGTGGAACTACAAGTCCCATGAGGCTTTGCAAGATTCTCACAGCCACAGACATGACTCCCGGAGAGAGAGGCTTCATGGGATTTGTTGTTTCACCACAGTTGGCGGGCCGGAGTTTGGCCATCCCTGGGCCCTAGGTCATTCTCACCTGAATGACCTACCGGTAGGCATTCATGGTAAGATCTCCAATGTTGTGCTTTAACATTCATATGATTTGACAATATCTTTAAATCTGCAGCGTTTATTAAAGAAGAACTCTCACCAGATGTTAAATAGGCTTGTTAACACCTCAAGGGTTCAAGTGGACATAGCATGTGGTGCTATGGTTTGTAAACAAAATGGCATGTGTATTACTGTCAGTACTGGCTGTTGCCTAAATGATGGGCAATTCTATGGAGGAGGCACAAGCAATAATAAAGCCACCATGCCCTCTCCATGCTGCAGCCCTCCATGTTATGCACCCTGCATGGCAAAAAGTGATTAACGGCTACTTCACCTCAAGCAAGCTGTGGCAGTTATACTGCCATTTCCTGGAGAAAGGACTCGGGTTCCTGAGTGGTGAAGAAGGTCATTTTTTGGGGGCAGTCAGATTTAAAAAAAAAAAACACTTTCAGGGTTATTCGCTGAAGAGTGAAGAGTTTGGAGAAGGCACGAGAAGTGAACAATCTAGGACAAATTAGCTGATTTGGAAAAATGCTCCAATTCGGCTCACTTTCCAGTTCATCTATGTTGTCCTAGATTGTTCACTTCTCCTGCCTTCTCCATACTCTTCACCCTTTAGTGAATAGCCCTGTTTGTGTAGTGAAAGGTGAACAGGCCTGTCATTTAATCACAGAACAGAATTTCCCCTGTTCTCCAATTTCCTGTAACTTGGGTTTCTGAGGGCATTCTTCAACCTTTGCATTGCGGTAACATGCAGAAACAAATGGTACGTTGTAGTACAGTTCATTCTGAATCGAACCCAACACACCTAAACTACAGCACACCACAACACATGGCATATGTTGTGTTAAACATAACACCAATTATTAGACAGTGTAATGTGTTTTTTGCAGGCTAGGTGGTAAGTGTCCTGGGCATTTTTTGCGTTTGTGACGTGCATTCCAAACACATTAAATAAAACACCCATTGACATGAGAGCTAAGGGTGGTCTGCATATGCAATTGTCATCTAATGCAGAAAGACGGGTTTGGTGCCTATTGTTTTGGCCTGCACAAAAAAAAAAAATTGCCAGTGCCATGGCTGCTAAAGTGGAATTGAACTCCTCAGGCACAAATAAAATGGCCCTGGACTTTTCATGTATAAGCTGAAGTCCTGACCACAGAAAGCCCTTTCTGCATCTTCTGGCTAGTGCAGAATGCTGCAATAGCACTTCATACATTTATTACAGCTATTTATATGGCGCTGACAACTTATGCTGTGCTTTACATAGTGCACATTCATATCAGTCCCTGTCCTCAGGGAGCTTACAATCTAAGGTCCCTATCTCACATGCATTCATATAGGGCCAATTTACACAGGAGCCAAATAACCTTCCAGCATGTCTTTGGAGTGTGGCAGGAAACCGTAGTACCCGGAGGAAACCCACGCAAACACAGGCAGAACATGCAAACGCCTTGTAGATAGTGTCCTGACTGGGATTTGAATTGGGGACCCTGAATGCTGCAAGGCAGAAGCGCTAACCATAACGCAGGCCACAATGCACAAGCTGTTGTTCCTGGAGGAATGCTGGTTCCTACCACAGCTGTCCTTTCGAGTCCTCCCAGCAATGAAATTAATGTGAAGCGCGCCTTTTATTTAAAGCGTATGTGAAGGCAAAACTTTTTTTTCCTGGTTTTGTATAAATAATAGAAGGATTATACCCCTGGTAGATTTGTATTGCTGTCTGTGTTCTTTTTGGGTAAATACACCCCTCTATTTGTACTGGTGATCATCGTCACGGAGATAGAAAGTGAAGGGTAGTCAAAATTTTATAGTTGTCACCAGAGCAAGAGGTGGGGGGGAAATCTTCAAAATGGGTACCAATTTTCCTGCAACAATTGTCTAAGACGGGAGTTCCCCTCACTTTGTGCAAGTTCCTATGATTTCCTTTTTTGTCTCCAGGACAGGAAGTGAAGAGAAATCTTCTCAGCGGGACACAGACAGCAAAAAAACAACATCAAAGAAGTTTTATCTATACTTACTCTATCCCAAAAAAAACACTATTTTGATCTACATACACGTAAAGGAGCAGTAGAAACACCTTTGGTAAGATTAAGTCCAGTAAAGTTTCCTATTAGTGGAAATATAGTAAAATCTCTGTTATCCGGTAAGCAACTAACCAGAACTCTCATCTAGCCAGAAAAAAAACGCCCCTGTATACTCACTGTTCTGCTGATCTGCTGCATGTATTATCCTGGAAATAGTGTGCCTATTTGTCTTAATTTGTTTTAAAGCAGACCTTTACCCATATCTTTAAAATAACAACAAACACACCATTAGAAATGTTTAGTAATGACAATCTACAAACACATACTTCTAGATATTTGTATTCTTTGCATATCTTATTTCTCTTTTCTTCCCCAGTCTTCTCACAGTTGCCATGTTTACTAAGGGCAGATTACTAGCTCTCCTATTACTTACGTGCATTGCTGTGGCAAACTGAAGTCATTTGCACTTGCAAAGCAGGAAGTGAATGCTCTGCAAGTGTAAGTATTTCAGAATCCCAGTATTTTACACCTGACATGTCTGCTATTATTAATCATCATACATAGAGGAGTGCAGTGGTAGAATTAGATTTTTTATTGTAAAGGTCCGCTTTATGTGTGTCTATTTGTCTAAATTTGCTTTTGATTACTGCATTTCAATATTACAATCAAGTCTCTACAGAGTTTATGTTAGAGACTTGATTGGCATTGATATGGCATTAGTTAGACCTATTTTTAATAGTAACTCTCATGCAACCAGAAACTACATTTATCCAGGATCTACCAATCCCCGTGGATGCTGGATAACGGGGAGTTTACTGTACCAGGATTCAAAGCCTGCAGATTGAAAACCTACCACTAGATGTCAGTGTGGAATCATAAGGTATTGGCAATGTTATTTGTATCCTTCCTGTAGATTAGATGTGGCCAAATTTCTTGCTGTGAGCTTTATATTATAACAAAAAAGCAAAGTTAAAGCAATGGAATGGAATGTAAAACAACTTCAAATCACCATAGATTAGATTAGCATTAGTGAAGTAACTAAAGTGTATTATTCACACGCAGAATGTTGCAGCAGCTAATGAAGAGTATATTTGGGTGGAAAGGTGGGTCAGACGAGGTTTAGATCTTTTTGATGCTCATTGACTCTTGCTCTTAGTGACACTTTTGCCTCTCTTTAAAGGAGAACGATGAGGTGAGTGATTTCCACTAATCCTCATAGTTAGAGCCGATCTGTGACAAAGAAGCTGTCACAGCTCGGCTCTATTGATCAGGAAGTGAGCAGAAACATGCCGCCGATCCGCTCACTTCCTGATTGTCTCCCTGCAGTGACCGGTGACTATCCGTCACCTCTCCCCTCAGGAATTCCCCCCTCCGATCCTCCAGCGTGACTGGAGGAAGGGACGGGGAGGGTACAGCTGGCTCTGCCTCTAGATAGGCGGAACCCGCTGTCACTCACGCAGCTGGGCGGATCTCGATAGTATTGCCGGGATCTGCCCCGGCTGCGGCGCTCTCACTATATTGTGGGCAATAGCCCCTTATATATTGAGCTTTGGGTTACAGGAGGAGGTTAGTATATGTCCTCCCGTGACCCTAAAGAGAACTATGGGGAAAAACACTTACCTCATAGTTCTCTTTTAAACAGAAGAAGTAGAAGCAAACCTAGCAGTCAGGTGTTGCTGCAAAAATACATCATTATAAAGACTGGGTAATATGTACTCTGCAGAGAAACGGGGGCAAAGCTTTGACTCCGTGGCTATGCCTGTGCCAATGTCTTCCATCTCTGGGCACCCTAACAGTGATCTAGACACAATTTACATTTACAGTATTTATCTTTTAACACTTTCCTGGTAAACCGATAATCTCTCTCTGTAGAAGAATGAAGAAGACCTAACACAGCAGCTCATCTCCAGCTCTTTAGGAAAGAGGAGACACAGTACTGCAGTCTGACGAGTTTGTAATTAGCAAAGTAACACACTTTCTATGTCAGGGGTAGGCAATGTCGGCACTCTAGCTGTGGTGAAACTACAAACCCCATCATGCATCTGCCTCTTGGAGTCATGCCTGTGATTGTCCATCTTGCAATGCCACATGTAGTTTCACAACAGCGGGTGTGTGAGGATGTCTACCCCTGTTCTGTATGATAAGCAGGACTGGCTCATCATGGGAATCAGTCACACAATAGCTACTGATCTTATACACAATAGCTACTCCAGAGCCCAGCAACTAAACTTTATTACACTGTGATTATGATTAGCTAATCATGATGATCTCATGATTTAAAACCACACAGAACAATTCACGTCCCTCTCTGTAGCATCAAAAGACTTCTTGTAGGAGCCAGGTCCTGGAGTTAAGTGCAACCACTTCCAACATGGAGAACTTGCTGGGAGAACGTTGTTATATATAGTGTGGGCAAGAAGGAGTTAAAAGCTTTTCCTAACCTACATACATTCTAATATGACCTGTTTGCACTGACTCGTTGGTGTTTCTTCTGTCTGTGTACAAGTAGAACTACAAAAAGCAGCATGTATCAAAGCACTCTATCTGATGTG